TGTGTGTGTGTGTGTGTGTGTGTGTGTGTGTGTGTGTGTGTGTGTGTCTGTGTGTGAACGGGACACTTCTGAAAACTCAAGAACCAATTCTTGAGTGGAGGTAATTGGACTAATGGTTAAGAAACAAGTGCAGAACTTATCATGTGCGGACAATAAAGTTATAATTAATATTCTACTCAGGCAACCAGGCTACTATTTTAAAGTTGAGGGGTATTTGAATCATGTTAAATGTAAATCAATACAATCTTAGGAGCCAGGATGATAAGCTGGAGAGCTAATTTAAGTCATAACTGGGCTCCGACAGAAGAATACCAAAGTAATACATTTGTACCTCCCCAGAGCAATAAAAGAGCTCACATTGAAATTGCTTTAGAAATTCTTTGATCCCAGATAATGTGATGCCTTCCTTTAAAGATAAGTGGTGTGATGCTGTATCTTATCAATTAATGCTTCAGCAATCAAACAGGGCCCCACCAAGAATCTGTTGCCACTCTGTCTCCTTGGCTGTCCTTCCTCTGCCCTCTACCCACCAGTATTCATAGAGAATACACATAGAGCACTGCCTTCTTCCTGTATGTATGTCCCCCCCCTCCTGAATGAGAACTTCCTCCACGCAGCAAAGTAGTGCGGGAGCAGCCTGCATGGCTTTGTGTCTCTTGGACTGGCACGTAGCAGTAGGTGTAGGCTGGCTGAGGCTTTGTCATTCTCTGGATGTCATGCGCAAGTCAACCCTTGATCTCCCACTTTGAAGTGCACTGCTGGAGGAGACTGAGAGCAGTCTGTGAGCCCACTGCAGTCAGCAGAGGGCGCCTGATACCAGGGAGGCCTGAGTCGCTGTCAGCCCCACAGACTGGTGCAATAAAGATCTCACCTCATTATCTGAGACAGTCACATCACAGGCTTGTGTTTGCAGGGGAGGGGAAAGGGAAGAAAGGGTGGAGGTGGGGGTGGGGAACAGGCTGGAGTTGGGTGACACCAGAGTCTGTCAGTATGTGAGTGTGTCTTTTTTTAAGGGTGGGGGGTGTATTGGTGAGAAAAATCAGGCATAAGTACAATTCACTGCGGCACCACGTTGACACCTCTGCCAACAAGGCTGAGGCCAAACTGCTGCACTCCCCAGCTCACTTCACAGGAACGGGAGACTTGTTATGCATAGGAGCCTAATTTTGCATTAATGGTTTCTGTGATGGGTTAAACTGTGAAAGGTTGTCAGGGTTTGTTAGGAATAGTAAATGCAATTTTGCACCTCATTACTGGGAACAGTCTTTATTACAACAAACACTTAAACTTCTGTTATCTCAGCCCCACAGACCAGTAAATGTGCTTAAATACAGCCTATGAAGTGTCAAATATGCAGTAAATATGTAGCCTTAAGGAGTTAATTTGTGTTTCAAGTGCTGATCCATACATTATTATACTTATGTGGGATTAATTACCCCATGTGCAGTGACATTTTCAATGGAGTTGTGCATTTGTAGTTGCTTACTTTTTAAGAGCAGCTGTGGGGATATACCAAAAAAATAATTGATTTAATAAAACAATTTAATTTGGAATGTGTACAAAATTGTCATTATTTTGTGTGATTTCTATTTAACTTGTAATAACTTAACAAGGAATGATACATCACCCATTTAGTCAGGATGTAGATGACCAGGAGGTCCATTGTCTGTGAGGATGCAGAGGAGAACTTCTGGCAGCTGGTGCCCCCTTACCTTCCCATGTACAGCCAATAAATCAATATCAAATCTAAGGAACAGGAAGCCAGATGGCCTTCCCACAAACCACTAGGCCAGGGCGCTCTCAGGGCCTCCTTGGCTACTGTACCACCGGTGCATGCTGCAACCCTTTGAAGACATACACATTCAACAAGCAGCTCAATGAATGACTAAAGGGAACAAATAAGCTGTTACGACTCTGCTCATTTCAGTGTTTGTGTTTCCATCCACATCAAAGGCCTCAGTCTGTTTGATATGCAGCCCCCACACCTTGAACCGAGCCATGTACAGGTAGAGGGGAGGAGCAGTCCATTGAGAAGCGAGAGGGTCATGTGGCCGCTTCTCTCAGCCCTGGCTCGAGGGCAGTTGACCCAGACGAAGGGTCTTGTGGTGTCTCTTGTTCCCCAGGGAGCTATTGCCCCTTACACCAATCACTGGACACATTATTTATTGGGTGGCCTATTGATTACACGCTTTTAAGGAATATTCACAAGAATTTAGTGCAGTATATTAGAAAATAGGAAACATTTTGCATTTAAAGATTGGAATTAATACAATATTAACAGAAAAGACAAAGGTGTGGGGTAACTGACAGTTGTCTCGGAGTAAGGCCAGAGAGGTCAGTTACCTAAATACATCCCGCCAGCCTCATTTGGATTTCTGTGTAGGCCAGGGGTCAGGTTAAACAGTAGTTTGATTGAATGGCTGTTCACAGGCCAGTGTGAAATGCCAGCTCTATTGCAATGTGGGAGTGGGAAAGAGGGGGTTTCTCTGGCCTTTGTGTGGCCCGCGGTCTTAGAGCACGGACCCATTGTTGGAGGCTGACCAGCCAGCCCCTCAGACTCTCCTTTGCCCTGCTTTGTCTCGAGCAGTGTGACCATTTCCTTCATCCAGGTCAGGGCAGGGTCGTGACTTTGGACACCAGTCCTCCCTGTCTGTCTGCTCAGCCTGCATACTTATAAATGCATCCAACAATGAGACGGGTGCACGGGTGTCACATGTCAGTGTTAAAAAAAATGTATTGGAGTGTTGGAGCAGGTTTCAGCCTTTTTGAAGCAAGAGGATGACAGCAAGAAGATCAGATGTCATCCTGATTCAAAGTCGCAGAAGCAGGACACCAAAATGATACATACAACACTCAAAGTACAATATTAAAGCAACACTGACATGCTTCTTTTTTCTGTGTAGACACTTAAATTGATCTACAATATACAAATCAGAATACTTTTATTGTTACTATCATTTGCATGATGAGAGGTATCTGACCTGCACATTTTTGCGAGTGTATAAAACACTGTACCGCAGACACGGAGCTGAGATAACCTCTTTACTGCCCTGAAGTGTCCGAGTTACGCAACTGTGAAGTTTTAGAAGAGTGGACAGTACCTTCCTTCTATCCCGAGGCTGGACCTGCCTTATCACGGCCTGGCCATCATGGTGATAACAAGAGGAAAGGCCAAAGGGCCGTAAGGAACAGTGTGCATGGTTCAGGTCAACAGTGTGAGGAGGCTGGACTTGAAGGGGAGGGAAGGTGGACAAGAATATTATCTGATAAGAATCACCAAGGTCTTTTGATCTCGGAGGAGCTGATTCTGGGCTACAGGGTGTCATGCTGGGTGGACGAGCAGAACGACACGGCAGGTACAAACATGCGAGCCCTTGAAGATCATCTGGGGCTAAGCATATTTACACAGGGAAGACTGGAAAGACTCTACTGATGCACACACTCAGACACAAAAACCTGTTGTCCTCAGGATTACACACTGTAGTAGCATTCTTTACACATTTAGCATCTTTTTTTAAAACCAGAAAGCACAATAATGCCTTATTTCTGCTCAAGCTAATCCCCTAAATCTGTTTCTATGTTGAAGCCACGATCTGGCATTAAATTCAAAACCAACAACTGACTGTGAGGCCTCTGATGAGAAGCGTAAATGTCAGTGTGGTTCGGTGTGTTTTTGTCTCAAAAGTCACTGATTAAAGGCGTCATGTGGAGGCCAGACAGGACCCGAGGCTGCAGTGCAAGCTGTGGCCTGAACCAA